AAAAAAAAAAAAAGAAACCCCCAGGTCCTGGCTGTGTGACTGTCACAGGAGCTTGAGGGCCATAGTGTTCTGATATGAAAGGCTACACCAGAACTGGCATTTCTTGGGTTGTAATCACCTGACCCTCTGATGGCCAGGGTCACCTTCCCCACCTTGTCGTCTACTGGGTTAGGTTGCTGGAAGCAGCCAGCCTGTCCTCAATGTGCCTGGCCCAATTGTAATCACACACCTGCCCAGCTTTGACTCTGCCTTTGGTGGAGTTTACGACACTGCTCTTTCCTGCTGGCAGAGAAGGCAGTGCTACCTGTCCCATTCCCATCCCTGGGGCTCTGGGGTCACCCTGGTAGAGGAAGCCCCAGGCAGGGACTGGGGAAGCTGAGGATGGGGGGTGGGGTGGGACTTGGGCACCTGGAATCAGCTCTCTGGGCTGCAAGCTTTCATCCCCGGAATTTGGAGGTTTGTGCTTGTTGAGCATGCGCTGTGTGCCGGGTGTGCTCTAGGTCTTCCTTTCTGGTCTGAGTCTTTGCAGACTGGGCTGTTTTCCTCTTTTGGGCAAGGGAAGGAGGCTGACCTTCAAAGCCCTTTTCCTTTCAGCAGGTAGCTGTTAGTGCCGTGGCTCTTCCTGGTTCCTGGGGCTATCAGACACCTTGCTAGAAAAGGCGGGAGCCTGGGGGTGCCTTCCTGACTCTCAGGCATTCTGGTCACCACTTCCTTCCTGGGGGCAGATGGTCTCCCACCCACATTCTTTCTGGCCCCAGGAGAGTGTCCCAGGCCACCCATTGTTGCCACTGCTAATCGTCTGTTTCTTCTCTCCAGAGCCCAAGTGGTGATTACATTCCCTCCTTATCTTGTTTCCTTTGGTGTTGTTATTTTCTGTTCCTGGCATTTCCCTCTCCCTTGCTTTTTCCTGTTCTAGGACCCTAGGTAATCCATCCCCCAGCTGTCTCTACAAGAGTTCTCCTGGGCTCTTCTGAAAGGTCACCCAGGCGAGCCCTGCAGGTCATCTTTCTATGTAAATCCTTTAAGGCAGGTGGGTTTCAGATGCCTTAAAGACACCATCTCAGTAATCACCCTTTGCTTTCAGAAAAGATTCTGGACAGAAGGCTTAGTGTGGCTTAACCTGCTGCCCAGGTACATGTCACCACCTAGCAGCACCTGGGCCTGCCCCTGC